GAGAAAAGAAAGCCCGAGAGCCAGAGGCAAAGCCATGGAGCCTGCAAGCTGAGCCCCAGCTCACAGCACTCGCTGCTCAGGTGAAGGACACTTGCCCAGTAGCACAAAAGCAGCAAAAATCTATTTACCCTTCCTGCTTTTCTCTGCGAGAGGGAAGGCGCATCGCTCGCTCAGCTTCAGGCAGCTGCAGTGGTGAATGCAAACCCAAAGGGAAGCGCTGGGAGAAGGGTGTGTGAAAATGGCCCCGTATCCTGCAGCCAGGAGCCTTCTCCTACACACCATACGGGCCAAACCTGCCTTGAAAAGCTTTAGGTCTCCCCCCAGGCTGATGGCAAAGACGCCTTGATGACAATGAAGGGAACAATTCCAGTCGAGTTTCCATCCCCTCCCCTATGACCTCCCTGTAGGGAACTGGGAGGCGGCAAGGAAGCTGAAAATGGAACACTAGCAGCACCTCACCATGCAGAGGCAGGGGAGGCATTCAAAAGAGTACAACACATCCAAATGCTGCTTAAAAGTCACCTGAAAATACATCTTAACCAGCAGTGTGGAATTGTGGGGACCAGATTTCAGCACCCAGCCCAAAATACCACAATGGGAAGATGTGAATGTTTTTCCTCTCTCACCACCCAGCCCTACTTTTGATACCAGATAAAATATTCCCTTTCAAATTCCTTACTGCAAAGGCAAAGAAGCGCTGGCTGGAAAAAAGCAGCAGTCAGGCAAAACTAAAAGCACCTCCGCAAGGAGAAGGCCTTCGAGGAATTTACTTTCTCCTGCTGATCCTCCCCATCAGCAGCCCACGCGGTTCCCCAGCACTGAAAGTCCTTTTCAACACTAGATAAGGAGGGGCCCCACCAGTAAAGCTGGGAAAACATCCACAAGGCAAAACATCAAGGTATTTCAGAGCCCCGGGGGAAGATGGGAAAACAGCAATTTGAACATCATTAAGAGCATTCTGATAACTTAAACCACAAGGAATGAGCTAAATCCACTAATGTTTGTTTGACCTCTCTGGGCAGCTTCTTTGGAGCTCCCAGGGCGGATCCCACAGCAGCTGCCTAGGCTCCTACAAGCTCATCAAGCCCCTTCTCTGCTCCCCAGGCTGGTTCCCCACACAGTGCCCAGCCAGGCCCGAGAGCCTTTTCTCTTTTTTTTGGGATGCTGAAACAAGCTCTGATGTGCTTGTGCCAAAAGCTGCCCCTCTGGCACAGTGGGGCGTTTCCCACTGGGGAACTTCGGGCAAGAAGTTTCTCAAGAGCTCGTAAGCCCAAGGACAGAGTCCCCAGAAGAATTAGCAGGGTCCTCTCCAGCAGCACCCTTTCCAATTTGCTCCTTCCAATGGAATAGAAAGTCACACAAATACTAAAAGCCAGTGGAAGGAAAAAAAAAAAAGAAAAACAAACAAATAGAAAAAACCCAACAAAACACAAACCCAGGCCATACTATGCTATACATACAGTTCTCCTGGGAAAGAAGAAAAACAAACATACAAGACCAGTGTTAATACTGTGGCTTGAAGTATTCCTGCTAGCAATGGGGTCAGCAGAAAAATCCTCTCTGTAACCGACCTAGAAGCACTTGCTTGAATCTCCAAGAGACAGCGTAGTCTCTCATGCAGCCCACGTGTCTACTGCCCACCCCTGGGCGAGGCCACCTCAGAAGACTCAGAGCTGGCTGCTAGAAGATGCTAAGCACGGGCACCCTTGATGGAGACAGACCTGGCTTGTCTGTGCTCAGAAAATTACCACTGCAGTACCCATCCCTCATTATTAAAAAGGTCTTTTTCCACACTGAAATGCTACCTCTAAGATCCTATCATGTAGCAATCTCACCAACCGTTTTGCCAATAATAATGGCATGCTTCACGTGTTTGTTCCAGTCATCTGCTTTTTCCAAAGCTACTCTCAGCTCAACTATCAGCTTTGGGGACTTCAGAGAGTTCCTGCAGCCACTGCATCAATGAAGCGTACGTGTCCTACTGACCCTCGGCCAGACCTACCAGCAAGTCATTAATCACTTCTGAAATCCCCATCCATTACCAAGTTCCACAACAGGAACGGTGAGAATATGAGATGTGCAAATAGTTTTGCTGGCAGGTTTCTTCACCTTAAAGCCAGAATTTGTTTTAAGCCATACAGAGGCTTGTTAGAAAATAATAAAAAAAAGGCAAAAGTCACAAATGTATATTTTATAGTCAGCCTTTAATTTTTTGTCTGTGATTACTGTAATAAAGTGCACCTAATTTCACATGAAATGAGATAACATGGCTCCTAATACAGCCAACATAATATCAACAGATAAACCTCAGTGCAAAATGCTTATCTGAAGACAACCAAAGCAGTTAAGACATTTACTGTGCAAACAGCCTTTTCCAATGCATGTAACTTCTGGCTGGGGGCCAGTAAATGAGTCAGCAAAACACAACGGCAGCAGGTTTGCTATTTCATTTCTAGGAGTCCTGAAGCAGTGCTCAGCTCAGCAGTCCCTTTTAAAGACTGCAGCAATGCTTTGGGATCATCTCTGTAAGGATACTGACGAGCTCCAATTCAACCCACGTCTAGACTTAAGCAACTGGGGAATTACTACTCAAGCTACAAAACAGATGGAAGAAAAGTCCAGACAAAGCGGGGGTGGGGGGGAGAGAGAGGGAAAATTCCAGAATGTATACACAGGCATTAAGCATGAAAACACAGGACTGGCTGAGCTAAGAATTACTTCAAGATCTTCTCCATTTATAGTAAGCTAATCAGCTGTGAACCCAAGAACTACAACGTGTGCCGTAAGACTAAAATAGGACCTGCAGCCATTTTTTTGTGAAACAGAGCTGAGGCATGCCCATTTTGTGTACGGGCATTTAATTAGAAAAGCATGTTTGGTTTTATTTTTTCATTGTTCTATTAAATAAAAGTAAATATCAAAGTGGTTATTTCATCTGGAAAAAAAAAGCCAGCAGTTTCAATGTGCTTTGAACTAGAGTACAAAAGCTGTTCATCTAAACTCCTCCTGTTTCCTTCTCCAAAATATACAGGACAGCAACTTCAACTTTACATGGTAAGAAAATATATACACATTACATACAGTAAACGTATTCTGCAATTTTTTTAAAACTTTATACAACATTAGTGAGAAAAAAATATAAACATTAATAAAATTACATACAATATATTCAACATAGCAACTCCTACCAGAGGGAAGGTTGATACACCATCAAAAACAGGCAGAGCAAAAGGATGGCGTTGCCATACCTAAGTAACACTACGTAATTTTTTTTTTAGCCTAAAGCAGTTCTATTGCCAAACAAAAGATACCCTTTGAGGTAGATTCTTCCAATTCTTAAATAACATGTTGAGATTAAAAAAAGAGATTTTCTTCCCCCCTCCCCCTGAACAATGCCATGAGCATAACTTTTGTTTGAACAAAGATAAGCTGATTATCCTGTGAAGGGCACAGAGATGCTGCAGTCTTAGGCTAACTCTCTAACACTTGAAATGAAAGACAAAACATTTAATATGAATTTGCAAATAAAATACCTTCCCTATAAGACATGTGACCATTCTATAGCAGTTACTTTATATGTAATATACATACTTAAATTTGAAGGTTTTGGGTTTTGGGGTTTTTTTTCTTTTTTGAGCCTTATTTTACATTCTCATCTTGGAGAGTTGTAGGGAATTTATCATACAAGACAAGACAGGGTAATCTACAAAATTTAAAAGGAAGCAGTATTATAAAACACACATGTTGATATTATTAAAAATTTCACTTGTTAAGGGAGTCCCAGTTAGTGCTTCTACTCAATACCATAACTTTCTCTTCATATATACACACATCCTACAGACAAACCACAGTGTAAGATTTAAATGATTGCATTTGCACAGAGAGCACAAAAGGAGAGCACATCTTCCTTTGATTATTTCACAAACAGCTCTTGGAGCTTTGCGCACATACTGCACGTGCAGCAAGACTTCACACAAACGAATTCAGACCTCATACGGCTTTCACAGTTTTTACATAGGTGGGCCAAATGCTCATCTCCTCAAATCTCCACTTAGCTGATATTTTAGGATTAGTATTTCCTCCATTTAGAGAAAGTGCTGAAGCCAGATAACAAATATAGGTATGTTTGTTTCTTAAAGAGCAGTACAACAATACTAATGGTGTAATAAGATCTCATTTATAACTTGCTCTTATAGAAACACTTTCTGTGCACTATTCACTGCATAAATGAATTAATGTCTGAAGATGAGGAAGTTAAGTTAAAATGAATGCATCACTGTAATAACAAATTCCATTTTGTTATTTGATAAAACACAACCACAGAGCAAAGAAGCATCCGCTTAACCTGTTTGGGCACAACCACTCTTAAGCTCTGTTTCCGCCCGCAAGTGAACATGAGAGCAGTCACTTGTTCACACGCAACTGCTGTATTTTGTATTTTTTAGAGACGTTGGATGGTCATACCAATTCTGCTTTGCAGATTAACACGAGCAGGCAATTCTGTTATTCAGCCCAGTTCTAAACCACTTTCCTCACCTGCTCACAACAGGGGAGGTCTAACACTGTTTCTGATCTCACATTCCACGTCACAGGGCCATTCTTTCCCAGCCATCCTAAAATAATGCTTGCAGGTGTCTGCTGGCAAGAAAACTAATACATACGGTTTTCAAATATTAACATTGTGATTAACAATGGAAATGAGAAAACTTCCCTCAGCTTTCAATACAATAAAATATTTCTAGCCAATTCAGAGAGGGCTATAGAAATAGCTGGGTTTTTTTCAGTTTACCCACTTCAATTTTTCAGAAGTAGTGTATTTATAGTAAATGCAATGTTAATCAAATTAGGTCCTTGTGTTTTTAGTATTTGCCTGAATCAAGCTCAAGTTCTAACTCAGGTGACTGATTTCTTCTGTTCCAACCAAGGTGAAGCTCCATTCATTCTACATCTTCCTTGGTTTCAGAGTTTTTCCTGTTATTTTCCCTGAACTAGGCAAGATTTCATGAATCTGGCTCCCAGAAGTCATGCAGCTTTCCCTAAAGAGTAAAAACAAAATAGTAAACAAGTCAGAAAACCAATGATAGAAGTAAAGAGTAGAGCAGGCAAGTGCTTAGCTTGAGATCACCACAATGTGCTGCAAGTCTCTAGAATTTTATTCAGAAACACTTGCCAGTTTCCCCATATGTGAATCAACTCCAAATATCTCGGAAAAAACAACTCTGAAAGAGCTACATCATTATAAACTTTCATCAGTTGCTCAGTAGCTTCTCCAGCCATGTGTTACTGTCTAATTCCCTTCCCCCTCTATAACAAGAAATGTCACACACACTACAAATTATGTCTTTTTTGCACATTGCTGGGAGCAATTAATAGTCTTTACAGACAAATGGTTGATTACACAATTTTTAACTGAAATCAATACTAAACATATATGTATAATTTAAATTTTATGTAAGTGATACACTACATTACTGGAAAGCTAGGCTTTTCCAGGACAGGTAGCTTTATATTCCAAGACAGGACTCAAACAGTTGGCCTGATCACATTACAAAAGAAACCTTACAACTCTAGACTGGAAGAAACAGCTCTGATCTCAGACATCAGTAGAAATTATCCACCCATTCCACCAAGGCCAGCTAGATATCATGAAGGCAAATATTAATGAAAGACTAATCACAACATTATTTACGACTGCATACCTTTACAGAGCATGAAAAGCTTTTCCTAATCATTGCCTGAAATTCAACACATTCAAAGGGGGAGGAGTTATCAAGAGCCATTAAATATATGAGGATAGAGCCCTGGACTCAAGTAGTCTCCAAGTCACACGCTGCCAGACCACCGCAGGAAGTACATCACTGCCAACATCCTTTTCGAAGCATCTGCTAATAACTATAATCAGAGACAGGCCCTGTGACTTGACTCACTACTAGCATTTCAGTGCATTACGCAAGCCATTTACAAAAGCAGCACTTTTAAGGTTAAAGACGAAATATTTTGGTTTTATTGAAGCCAGCAAAGTAAGAATTTTAATTAAAATCTATTCTAATACATCTAAGTGTATTCCACAGCCATGCCATTTATGAAGAAAAAAATCTCTTTACAAGAACATGCTATTTTCAAATGCTAAAAAGATGAGTTAAATGCACCCTGCAATACGAAAAGAGAGAAAAAAGTTTCATTACAGTACCTGAGTAGGCCGCGTGGTTTGTATCATATCTTGCCATTTGCCATATATCCTAGCAACTAGGTCTTTCACCTGCAAATTCAGATTGATTAGTTCAGCCATTTATGTTAAAAAAGCCAAAATCATACCCCCTGTCTCCCCCACCACCCCAAACCCACAGAGCCCTGGATAACCGGACACCCAAGGTTTACTGGGAGGGAACAACTTTACAGCTGGCACAAAGTATCATCACCTCAACTCCAACCAGATCCCTGTAATTTGGGACTCAGAATTCAAAGTCATGTACTCCACACAAACACATTACAGGCACATGATTCCCCATGTTAAGTGTTTGGAATCAGCACGCCAGCCTCTGGCCTCCAAACACCCGCCTCATCCTTCGAGTGAGTTAGGTTTGTTACGCAGGATTGTACCTAGAAAAAAGCCTGCAACTGCAATCACAAAAGCCAACTATGCAGCATCGTCTGCTTCTGAAATTAATTCCTTATACATAAAACTGTGTTTTTTCATAACCAATCACAAGCAGCTGTTTAATCTAAGCCATTCAGAACTGAGATTTGCTTCATATGCTGTGTTAAAACCCAGCACAGTGGCATCCTCTGGAAGTTACTGTACTATTACATAAATGAAGTGAAGAGTAAGATTCTCCTCTCTCAGTGCAAGGGCAATAGAAACAAAAGTGAAAGCGACCTGAGATACAAAAATCCAAGGCAAGTCATTAACTTGTTAAAAGGATCCATGCTCTACTATCTGGCCGAATAAAAAAGAAAAATCTTCTTGAGAGGTGAGGATGCACACAACTGCAAATGTTTGATTTAAAGCTGGAGGATCCAAGGCTTTTCAAAGTTGAGGTCAGTCACTTTATCACTGATCTGATTTTGCTTGCTACAACAGCATGCAAAGCATGAAAGTCTCAAAATTAGGACTATCATTAGTAAGCCCCACACCACAAAGCAAATGAAAGGCAATTATCCAAGCTTGATGCTACATCACATACACTGTTGGCTTAAATCCACAACATTTTTAACTAAGTCGTTTATCTGAAAATAAAACAGAGACATATGAAGATAGGCTAGTTTTTCAGTCCTCTGTATCCTGTCCTCTGTATCCTGTACGTAGCCTCTGCTCTTACAAGTAGAGTCAACTCTCAGTGACTGACAGGAAAAGAAATGGAGCAACTCTGTGGGTCTGAAAGTTGAGATGCCTGGCTAAAAGGAAGACAAGCTCACATTTCACAGTTGTTAAGAGTCCTGTTGTCAGCAAAAAGAGTATTTTCAGTGCATTAAAATGGGCATATATTTATGTACATGCAAAGACATGATGCAGACAGAGAAAACAGAAAAAAACCAAACCCATGAGGAACACTTAAAATTTCCAGGGCTGGGATAAGGGAACAATACACATCAAGAACACTAAAAAACACCTCAAACCAAACAAAAAACCCAATGAACTTGCGTGTCTTACCTTTGTTCGATAAAACAGCCTTGCATCTTCCCTAATATCACATTTTATGTGCTTATCTAAGGCACCACAAAGCTTCAGTAAGTGTTGCTAAATAAAGACAAAAGTGTACAGCTATTTAAATCCTCCATGTCAAAACTAAAAGCTTTCTTCAAATATTATTTCAATTTAAAAGTTATATGCTTCAGCTTGAATTTTTCTCAGAAATATACAGTAAGGAAGGAAGAAAAGAAAGAAAAGACGACCACAAGATCCTCTATCAGTTGCTGGTATGCACCCAGTAAATCAGGTCTAAGAGCTTTAAAAAACAGTTTCAAAGTATACTGGAGCTACACATCACAAATTTTAAAGTTCCTGCTAGTGAATTTGTAAGTCCTTTCTGTCCCCAAAGTAGCAAGCGCAGTGCCATTCAGATCTTTTATCAGCAGAAAAAAGTTCTGAAGTTACAATAGATAAAAATAACCTTTTCAGTAATGATGACTCAGTTCATTTTCTTTTGCAGTCTGCAGGAACTGGCTGAGCAGGGTTTATGTACTGATCTTTTATTTCTCTCTAAATTTCTGACTCCTTTAATAAAGCAGTTTTGCAACTTCATAATCTCTTAACAATGGCTCCCAAGATATTTCACATTCTGTGATTTTATTCATAAAATTCCTGTTTTCCTTCACTGAACAGCTACAAAGAGGCTCCACTCTGCAGAACAGGTGAGACATGATGAAATTCTACTCATAAACATTTGCTGGTGTTGCAAGAACATGACAATTTACTCCATCTGACTGGAAAAGTACCAGAAATTAAATAGTTATATTGATTTTATACAAAGTCTAGCCTGCACAATATTCTTCTACTGCCCAGTTCAACCACACCCCTCTTGCCACTTGATGGCTACCAGGTCAGTAAATAATAGTGTCTTTCTTCATTACAAAATATAGACACCTTTCTTTCTTTAAAAAAAAAAAAAAAAAAAAAAAATCAAGTTCTCCACAGATCTTCAGGAAAGCAGTTGTAAAAAACAAATCTCAAGAGACCATCACAATATAATTCTCTTCTTTACCAAATATGACTTTGTTTCAGATCACACTCTGTGATCACCTTTTTGCACTGAGTAGGAAACTGAGACACTTACGCCATGAAATGTAACCAAACGTTACTGCTTTGCCTCTCGCAAACAGTTCATAGACAGATTTCTTAACAGCCAAAGTGATTCCACGTGGCAGAAGGTGTACACAAACACCTTGCAGCAAGCAACTCACAGCAAATCATCACAGAAATCTGAGTAAGATTACTGAAAGGCTAAGCAGAAGGTATTACTTAACAGATGTTCACATCACATGGCACATCTCACTTGCTGCATGCCTGCACTCCAGCACAGAAAACCGTGATGTGTTTGAACAGATTTTACTGGACATTTTCAAAGTGTTTTTCTTCTAGACTGAAAAATTTCAACCCTACTTCAAAAGTTCACAGGACCATTGCACTTCTTAGCATTTCTGTGTTAATCTCCAGTTACTTGCTAAGAAAGATAACAAAGTAAGTGTCTGTTGATCCACAGCCCGTTTTTGGGGTCATTCCATGTGCAGAAATGCGGAAGAGGTTCACAGGACCATTGCACTTCTTAGCATTTCTGTGTTAATCTCCAGTTACTTGCTAAGAAAGATAACACAGTGTCTGTTGATCCACAGCCTGTTTTTGGGGTCATTCCATGTGCAGAAATACGGAAGAGGTTTATTTCTCTGCAGTAAGTGCAGAGAAAGCTCTTCTGCATTTACTTTGCCCAGAATAAAAGTTTCCCCCAGTGCTATTACCTACTGGCAATCTTCTGTACGTGATAGCTCTTACCAAAACAGACCAAAAGCACATGATAAATAGCCTTTTAAAATCTAAAGATCTAGCCACTGAAGTTACTTACCCTTTGATTAGAATTTACAACATCAAAGAAACTAGCTTCACTGACAAGATGGAGGAGGATGTAGATTAGGTAGTATGCCTGGAGAGAAATCAACAGAGCTTTAGCAGTCAAAGCACAATCACAACTCTTCACATCTAGGTACAGCACTATCTTTACTTTCTGGAATGATTCCTTCAACAGCCAGATCAATGGACAAGCATGTCTACACATTTGCCTAAATAACTCATTTGAAACAGTACATTAATAGGTTACAAATATTTTAAAACAGTATTACACTGTTTTAAGTTACCTAAGTAACCTACAAAACTTTTTGCAGTTTTAATTACTGAAAATTAAATTTAGCAGTTGCCTTTATTTTCCCATCATTTACATCCATATCAAAATACTTGCTAAGAGATTCCATTACAGACTCAAATAACCAAACCAATATTCAATTTTTGGACGGATGGAAATACTAAATCTTTCTAATACTTGCTGATGAGAAAAGATTCATACGAGATTCATAAATCTCTTTCTGAAGCCTGCAGGTGAAGGTCTGGTTCAGCATCGAACAGTTTCCACTGATTACATCAGAAGGGAGGGAGGATGGTCCTCTGACTACAGAGGACAGGACTCAAGACATCCATGTGACTTAGCCATGCAGAAAATCTGACAATTTCACTGTTTGTAAAACAGCCTAATACAGCTTCCTCCATCACATGCTACTTCCTTCCTTCCTCCACGACTATAATCAAAATTGAACATGAGTAATATTTTAATTATACAGATGAACAGCAACAATAGTGTACGTACAGTTCCATGTACAGAACTGTCCTCAGTTAACAGCAATTACAAGAAACATTCTCAAAATTGCAGAAGATGCATAAAAAGACAAATGCAAAAATGCACTGTCAGTTATATACCTCCTGTTCTAGTTCTGTATGAAGGTGGTCTCCATCGGCATTCTGCTGCTCTAGTCCTTCTCGCATCTTCTTTAGTAGATTAGAAGGTTTCATGTACACCAGAAACTGATGCAGAAGACACATCTAGATACAAACATTACAAATCGGACTGGTTTACTGGCAACGGAAAATTGGAAACCGAGTGTCACTACAATATTATTTGCCCACTAAGACAAGAACATAAAAGGGATTTTTAATTAAAATGAAAGTTTTCATGATTTGGGTAATTTTTGACTATTCACAAACTAAGGCGTTTGTACATTGCCTCAACAAAAGATGAATCCTACAAAAACAAAGAGTGACTCTACATGAACACAAAAGGAAGACTGAAAGAAGTGTAGACCTCCTTCCAGTGTCCAAAATGAATGTTTAGGCACATAAACAACACTGCACTTACAAGCTGCAGAACATGCAGGTTACACACATGTGCAAATAATAACTTCTAATACTAATCTAAAATAAAAATTACTAATTGGTCATTTTGCAAGGTTCTTGAAAATAGGCTTACAGTATTAAAACACAAACAATAATATACGTGTTTTCTGAACTTTCAAATTATACACAAACACAACACATATGCAGTACCTGCTTGTCACTGCCATCAGGTATTTCTATATGCTTTTTATTAAGAAGCTTTGAAATTATCACTAGGCTAAGACGTCTTCTTACTTCCCTGAAAAACAAAAAAATTTCTTTCCCAGAGAATTTCTTAAATCCACACTGTTTCTACAAAGTATATGAGGCTATGCATGGCTTCCCTAGACATAAACTTGCCTACAACTATTAAATTGGATTTTCTGAATATTAAGTGCTATTAAACTAGTAAAGAGGCTAGTAAAATATAAGTACCCTTATCTCATTGCTGCTTTTCTTCTGCACAAGTAAACACTGCTAGATGCCCGCCTCCAAGCCTGAAATTGAAGACCCAGCTCATTCTCCTCGCTCAGATATATTATAATTTATTCATTTTGAAGATGCAGAACTCATAACAGATTGACACTTAAAAGCAGACATGAATCACCCAAAGAAAATTTAATTTTTGGTCATTCAGACAAGAATTAGAGTAGGTGATGGATGCCAGAATCTGAAGTTAAGTCTTTCTTTACTATAGGGTACCAGGAAGTCCGCAGGCCAGAAAACTACACATAAAATGTAAAATAACACTTTTTCACAGCAGAGGTGATCAAGAAGCTACGTATATGCACTTCTTATAATGTATGTATCTGTAGCATATGAGAAAACCCAAATACTTTTTCTTTTTAAAGCGCCAGTAATACCTATTGCATTTATCAGACTTCGAGTTTATACAAATACATTAGCTGTTAATGATACAAATAAATTAGCTGTTAATGATAGTACATATTTTGGATGTTACAGTATCATTACCGTCCACGTATTATCCAGCTAGGCACCAGCTGAACTAGCCACAGGAGATTATGGTGATGACTGGAGAGTTCACTCACTGCCAAGCAGAGCTCAGGCATCTTTAAAAGAACAACAACGACAAAAATCCCAATACTGAAGAACGGGTATGGTGGGCATTTGTTTTATTTGCAAAGGAGTACACAGCTACTACCCAGAAACATACACAGCATAAATGTTAAAAGGAATTGATCTAATAAGAGATGATGTGCATAAAGATAATTCTGTGTTGCACCTGTAAAGTCTGCTAAATACTGTTTTACAATAGGGTAGTTGAGATCAGATTGCTTTTCGTGACATTTTATCGGCTTAGTGCAATCATTTCTTCATTCTTTCAGAGAGTCATTTTAAACATACAGCTATTTTAGTAAATATAAGATTAAGTTCTATACAACAGTCCCCTTGCAGAAGAGGACAAGCAAGCATAATGTCATGCGACAAAAAACCTCTCAGTATACCCACCCACCTCCTAAATCTCACAAAATCCAAAGCTCCCAATTTGTTCATATTAAATTTTCAAGCAGTATTTTTCTGATATGTCAAAAAAAAAAAGACTTGAAAATAGAAGTTTCTTGAAAATTAAGTTACAGTTTCATACGTCTAACACAAAATTATTTATGAAGTTACCTTTGTATCCCAGTCTTTTATACCTATCAGAAGCTTTATGAAAAGGCACTGAAAATCTATCAAAGGAATTTGCTTTAACTGTTTCTCCAAGCTTATTTTAAATAGCAATAGAAGCAGCAACAATATTTCTTCATCTGTATATCCACCTTGAATTACTGTTGTACAGAAACCTAGAAACTTTAAAAGAAATAAAAAGCATTAAAATCTGAAATTGGTTTAGCTTATTTTAAAGTATGTTGAGAACTTAAGTCTTCCACCCTCACATTAAAATGCACCTCAAATGATACATTGTTCTTGCAACACTCCTGTACTAACATCTCCCCATCTCCCAGTAACTGCACTCTAAATTTTTTTTTTTTTTTTTAAAATACCTGCTGAAGACTCATCTTCTGAACAATGGCAATATTCCCTGGATATTACAGGAGTAGGAAAGATCTTTCTCCACTGCACAGATAATCCTCATCTAACTAAATGAAAGACTGACAGACTTTCTAAATACACAAGTAATGCTGAAAACATAAATCAGAAGATTTTTCCCCACCCAAGTATTATCACATGGGTTACTTACAACATGGGATGTGTGTGTAAATGAGAACACAAATTAATCAAGAGATGTGTATTTTGTCTCTAGCGGAGATGCTCCGAGTGCTTCCTCTTGAACTAAGTGATTTTATGCTTAAAAATCTCTAAAGAAATGATGTTAGGAGAATTCAAATACTTCCACAAGGAACTCTGAAATCAGTTATAAAGTCAGTATTTTCACCATACAACCTTTAATCACAGAGAACTAGCCTGTGAAGTGTGACCAGCACTCATTCAGCCTATGGTCCACGGGACACAGTGCACGGTTCTAACAGCTCACTTCCACAGGAGAGTCACAGTCACAGCTCCACCTGACCTCCGTCAGCTCCCACCCCATTCACCTTGTGCTGCGCCGGGACTGATCGCGCACCTCTGAGAGCTGCACTAACACACTGAGGCAGCACAAAACATGCCACCCAACATCAACTCCCCTTCCCATTTCCACTGGAACACAGAAATGGATAGTTTCTTCTACACAAGGGAGCAAAGACATTTGAGAAAGTGCCACAGCTGGAAAAGGGAGGCAGCAGAACTGTGCAGTTGTGAGTGAAGCCAATGGAAGTCAGGGAGAAAGAAAACTCTAAAGTTTGCAACAAGCCTGCAATAATCTCTGCTGAATGTGAAGCTGAAACCCCAGGATAGCATATACTCACAAAACATGCCCAGGACTATATTAAGACACCAGTGTTTTTGCTAAAAAAACAAAAAAACCCCCAAAAAACCCAAAACCAACCAAACAAAAAAAAAACCCACAAAAAAACAACCCCCCAAAAAACCAAACACCACCAAAAAACCAACAACAACAAAAAAAATCACCACACACCAAAAAGAAAGCAACAACCCCACCCACCCACCCCAAAAAAAGACTCCACAAAAAAGCCTCCCACACTAGAGTTCTCTCACCTTAATCACATTAATTAAATTGTTTTCAGGTAGACTGGAGAAGGCTGGACTGGCAGAGGTTAGGTCTCCTCTTGGCTGTTGCTTACTCACTGTTTCTTGCATCTGACTTCTAATAAAAGAGACACTAATCTGAGCAATAAATCAACAATCTAAAAGTTCACAAAGGCTTATTTGCATCAAATTGAAGAAAAAAAAACTCTGCATGTTTCAAAATGCCTTCAAATCAAAACAATCCTCAGTTACAGAGAGCACACATCTATCTTAACTTGTAACCAATTACTTACAATTCTGCCCAGCTATTTAGGCAACAATTCTTGTAAACCTCCACTAGGAAGGTGCAGGACAAAGGACAATGCTCTGGTTTGCTGAATCCTTACCTGGCAGGCATTGTTTAAAGTTCTGGCTTATTTAGTCTTATTAAGACCTGAGCTGAGAATTTAAAGAGTATGCCTTGATGGAAGGGAGGGGAAACAAAGGAGAACCTTCTGATTCTACAGTCTAAGCACAAGACTTGCTTTGACAGGATCTAAGCAATAAATATCAAAAGGAAAACACTTACAAAATATCACACTCGTTAAAGTTGGGCTGAAGATGCTGCAATGGAAAGAGAGATCTAAACGCAACACCCATATTGACAAAAACAGCTGACACATCAGCTAGTGAAGGAATCCATGGTTTAGACTGTTCATCACTGATGGAAGCTACAAGTAAAAGACACGGAATGGATTAGTTTTAAATTTAGTTCTTAGCATTAGTTCCTTTTAAGGGAAACAAATAAGCTCAGCAGTCTGCATCAATTCTACCAGCTCTCATCTCAGAAAAGTTGGTGCATTGAACGATATGCTTATTTTCAGAACCATGGGCGGGGGGGGGCGGGGAAGTAGTCTAACACAGTATTTTACGCTAGAGAAACATCTTGCCTATGTAACGGGTGAAATACTTTAAAGTTCCACCCATTTTCCCTCACAGCTCTCTTTCATCACAAACAGCAGAATTAGCAAGGAGGCAATATTTACTTTTAAGAGAATACATGAATTACTGTTCTGTGTAGGTACAGGTAAGAGGGTGTTATCATAATGGGACTGGAAGAGGAGCTAAGTAAGATTTGAAAACAGGTGAAGCTTCTAGAACAGAAGCGCTAAACAAATGGAATTCACTTATTTGATAGAAATAAGAAACAATGCTTATTGCAAAAAGGGCTGATTTGTATGATTACTTGCATCTGAAAGTCTGTAAAGTCTACAGAGGATTATCCATAGGACACTAAACTAGCAAGGTAACATCAAACTAGACGCAGCATTTTCCAAACAATGGTAGAAGTCACTAGAATTCTGAACTGGGTCAATTTTGTGTCTTAGAGCTAAGTTTGTATGAAAAAAAAACAAGTATCATGGAACACAACACTCAAGACACTGCAGGTTCAGATCTCAATGTTCAATTCAGTAAAAAAACCACCAACAAAAAAAGATACATCCTTAGTTAAACACTGGAACAGAATGTCTCAAAATGGTTTAAAAACTCCACAGTTGGCAATTTTAAAGTGGCTAGACAACTTTCCAGGAGCAACTGTAGCCTATTCCATGCAGCTCTGAGGCCAGAGATCTGCTGGGATCCCTCCCAGCCTTAATTCTTTGAATGCTCATTGATCAGCTTGAACTATTCATTCAGAATCAAGCTTAATGCCAGCAAAGCACAAAATAAAGGAGGTTACAGTCCTTCTTGTATCAGCTCACAGTCCTATTTCAAAAAAGATTCAAAATATGTGGTAGAATTTGGAAAGAACTGAGGAGCAAGTACTTCAAGAGAACTGCATTAATTTAACGATGTTAACTGGCAGGCTTAAATGAATTAATGACTTTTGATGGATCTGAATAAAGTGAAGACATGGAGAAAATACAAAGGAACTTGTACTGGAGAAGTATTTGAGAATACAGATGAAGGAAGGCAAAACACACAAGACATGAGCAGCAGTGTGGGCTAAAGCAGATTCTTGAAAATGTTTCTGTGCAGGTGTATGATTCTTTTCACTTTTGCCATTTACCTGGAAAGTAAAACTATGTAGTGCTACATACTGGGTATGACTATGTGAAAACCATTTTGTAGTCCTTAAGCTATGAAATTAACATCTGCATCTTCTAAAGCAAAGATGGAAAGGAGAGTAAACTTTCGAGCAGACTGGGTTCCTCTTCAGGTCAATTCTATTTGTGAAATAACAGAAGTGAGTTTAAAAGGCTCTGTACTGGATGCACTGCTTTGCAAATACATGCCAGGACCACATCCTGTGGTACAGCTTGCACACACTCAGTGAAGACCAACTTCTAGCATTTGTGCATTACAAAGTAACAGAATAACCTAAATTCGTGCCAGAATCACAGAACAGAGCCAGCGCTTTTTACTTCCTCTCCAACCCAACACCTTTCTATACTTAACAGAAGGGAAATGCCTTCATTCAGGTGGTCAGTTTTCCATCCTTCAAATACTCACCATTTTTTAGTGTTATCTCCATCAATCTGTCTAAAATCTGGGTGGAAACACAATAGTCAGGATGAACAGACATCATCTGTGGAGAAAAAAGAAGTTACATGTCAAACACCAATTTGCATGATGGCATCAGTTTTCTTTTAATTAAAAAAATAAACCAACTCTTTGGTAAAGTAAAATAAGAAACAGTAACGGGGGGAAAAAACCCAAACCACCAAAGCCTCTAAAGCAAGATACACGAAGGAGAACAGAATATTGTGACTACGCATTATTTCAAGCAGTGCACAGATGCTATGAATACTTTAAAATTAATTATTTGCAGTATCAGAATGCTGTAACCCCATGTTGAATCTGTTGGTTCATAAGAAAGTCCTGAGGATTAAGAGAACAGTCACTCAGAAAGTGTAGAGGAAAGTTATCCCTAGTGTTTTACCCCTAGTGACAATCAAAGTATTTCAGACTAGAGAACAAACCAGAACCCAGAAAGAAAGATTTTTTGATTTAAAAGTTGTTAACCTAATGCAACAGATTCACAAACTTGTTCTGATTATTCCTGCTACAACTGGCTTCCAGGAAGAATATTACACCTGGACAGTGTAACTGCATGAATAGTATAGGCTTACCTGGAAAAGCCACTTTAGAATTGGTATGGGACACAAGATGCAACTGTAAGCAGAACTTAGAAAACCATTAATAGCTAAAGAAAGCTGCTGTGTTACATCAGAACTGTAAGACAAAGATGGGGGCGGGGAAAGAGGAGGGGAAAAAAAAAAAAATCAATTAGTGGTTGTATCAGCACTTTCACAAAAGCGTAAGAACTTCCCCACCTCTCAGATCATCATCAACAGCAAACAACGATCTGAACATCTGAAACAGATGTTATTCTTATGCTCTTACCTATATGAAATACTATAGTAATTAAACCTTATTTGTTATTTAGAACAACTATCTTTTTCTCCAGGATGCCATACTATAAAATTTGGAAACATTTGTATTATTAGAGAATAATAGCTTCAAATAAACATGATTTACACTATTGTACTATGAACCATTATGCCTGTCTACAGATGGCCCGCTATGCTCAGTGAGACCAGTGAATAAGATTTTTTACTGTCCAATGACCTTTACCAACACTTTTAGAAGAAAAGAGAAAAAACTTCGTTTGAAATTTTTAGAATAATCTTCTAAATAAGAAGTCTGGAGGCAAACTAAAGCAATTAAAACCAAAAAGTAGCTGCTGGAAGAACAGAAAATATGTCATTTTTATTACTGAATTATTTTAGCTTTAGTCTTCTTTAGAAAGTCAGGTATGTCATAAGCAGCTGAATTAATGATATCCAGTTTCCCACATACCCTTCCTTTAGTCTCCTGTATTCTCAGTATCTACTAAAACAGATAGCTCTGCTGAGACATCTGTGTCCTGACTTCTCCATATACCCTCTACCTGTCTGACTGAGCAAGTGGCTAGGAAGACATCCATGTGCCAACCGGACAGACAGTAGGTGCCAGCTGTGCCAACTGGGCAGAATGCATAAGCAATTAAATCATTAATTGCCTTCTGAAAGGGATGATTCGTTTAATTCTCATTCCTCCAGTCACTGATTTACAAGATACTTTTGAAGCTTATATCCTTGTGATCTTCAAAACATATTAATAGAGAGGCCTGAAGCCAAACGACTATATCACAAACATCACTTCCTCAAGAGACGAGGAGACGCCACCATCCTCTTCACACCCACAATAGCACATAAACATGTACACGAAATCCTTTAAGATTAAATGAATTCTCTCAGTTTCACTGATGCAAGTTTGGAATAAAATACCAACTGAAATAACCAGAATTTTTCAGGATTTGTACTTGCGATATTAGGTAAGAATTTGTCCAGCTATTTGTAGCCTGACAGCCTCATAAATATAGAATACAAATCCCTATGAGTTACAGATCAGTTGTGTATATACACAGAGACACACTGCTAGCTCAGTGACTGAGTCTAACAGATGTCAGAAATTGTGACTTTCTGCAATCCTCATTAAGTGGAGTCCTAAATCCCAGGCCCGTTCAGGACAAAAACATGTAAGAGTTTTTCAGCAGACATAATGCAACATTAGTAGGTCACAAACCAGTTCACCACAAAGGTCCTCTTTCTGTCTTGGGATAGTTAAGCATTTATTCATTGTAACATTTCACTTCTGCATTTATCTTCCACAAACTGGTCAGATTACCAATGATAGTCCAACACAGTAGAAATATGGAAAAGGCCAGAACACCTATTTTTTTCCTTATGTCTCATTTAAGATGTTTTTTTCAAGAATTCCAGGGGAGGAAAGAAGGAAGCTTCAAGTAACAATTCACTGTTCTGTAAAGCTAACCTGGAAAGGAGAATTCCACGGAAAGGGTGTCAGTCTTGCCTACTTACTAAGACAGAGCTCATTTGCACGCAAAGATACTATTTTATCTTTAAAACTTCTAACATTGAAGAAAATCATACAAGTAAACACAGAGTGAAGAGGATATTCTTACGTAAGAAGGAGCTTTTCTATCGGATTTTGAGGGATGAAATGAAAATTCCTCAAGTCAAGGTTATGTTGACTGAAGATTTTCCCAGAGGTTGATAAATCAAATATATCTTCTCCAGGATGGTAGTCAGGTATGGCATGAGCTATTACTGAAAATCTCTTTATAAATGCCCTGCAAAATTCAAAATTGCTTTAATGAATTTAAACATTGAGAAGCTATTTTCTGGTTGAGACAGTTATTTTCAGATGATAAACACATCAGCCTTATGTGAAAGCTGAATTGTTAAAATACAGTAATGTTCAAGAAAATCCACCCAACCCCAGAAGATGATAAAAATGGCTCACATTGAACATATTAACAACTGATGGAAAGAGAGAGAGATTAGAAAAAAAGGCTAGAAAAGCGAAGGACTACATTTAATTGGTTTTGGAGTTGGAAGGACCTGTGCTCTTCTGAGAGATCTTCATCTCCACTGGCATTCTCCTCATCTTCTCCATCTGAAGAACCAGTTTCCCTTCCTTGTAAGTCTTCCTGTAAGCGCTTTTCTAGTTCATCTACCCTGAAATAACAGTAGCAGCGGAACACATCATCACCATTTAGTATTTACAACAGAAGACAACAAAATCTAAGCTCTGAATGTGAATCCGGGAGTCAGTAGCCAATTACGAATGGCAAAAGCATGTGAGACATTGCATCTGCGCAAAAACCAAGCATCTTGCTATTCCACAATACAAAGTGGATGTTTCCTAAAGCCTAATGAATTTCCAACAGCACATTCAATCACTAGTTTGTCAGAGACAAATACACTCAACCAACTTCTGACAGAATTTTTTGTAATTGCACAAAACTTTCAATCTTCTGGATGAATTTTTTTTTAAATTTTTTTTTTAAACGTCATACTAGTATTTTATTTGTTAAATAGTATTAGTTATAGGAGTTTTCACTACTCCATAGTCAGTCAGCCCATAGTTCCTAGGGTCAGATCCTTTAATAAAAACAGTTAATCAGACATATATACCCATCACCACCACTTGCCATTAATACATATACCACATTACACTTTCTACCCAAAAGACCTCTTGCAAGAGCACTCATTAGTTCTGTTCACTGAACTGCATAAGTACTCAGATAGCGATAGCCTACACAACTTTAGAAACCAAAACTGAGCTACAAATGCCTTTGAAGAAACTAGTATACGGTCAGTCTACATAAATACTTCTATTTCATGCCTGACCAGCAGCTGCTGGCTGGCTCAGTGACCTACAACGAAGGCATCGGTAAATTTAGTCCAGCTCTTGAGGGGTAGACAGATGTATCACTAATCACAAATCACTCATTATTGCTTGGAAGGAGCCTGTCATTCAGCTTTTACAGTTAAGCCACACTTGTAGGTCCTGTCAGATGTATGTTGGTGGCATCAGCACGCAAAGCTTAGCTTGCTGCTACCCAAACTCCATCAATTTTGGGTAGATGAGGTAAATCCAAGCTTCTACAATTCCATCCCAAATGTTTCAAAGCAGCTTTAAGAAACAAACCTTTTAGATTCTTCTTTCTCCTTCAAGAGATGTTCTAAGCTGTTCACATATGACACCTGGCTAACAACAGGAGGCTTAGAAAGCTGTAAATGAAATAGCAAGAAATTTAAAAAAACCACAAGCTATCAATTCATTCAGTATTAGACAACAAACATAATCAAAATAGAAACCTCTTCCAATTTTATGATGTTTTACCTGAAGATAAAAACTCAAAGGAGACCCTGAAAAACAGACAATTAACAGTTTAGGTTTCTCAGTCCCTTGACAATTTTATATAATGGTCAAATCTCTGTGTGACCAATTTAGAAATAACCGTGCTTCACAATGGATCTGAACAGCAAAGCAAGTCTCTGTGCCTCCCCTTGGGGCTGACCTCCAGCTAACCTTCACAAAGAGCATTAGCATCAAAAGCCTTTTACCTCACGGCTTTATTATTATCCTCCATTGAGGCCCTGGGAATCCCCATTCTCATGCATGAGACAAGAAACCCAAAAAATGATTCAGTATCTCTTTGTTACTCTCAGGAGTCCCTAGAGGGCAAAGCACCAGTGTTTGGACACCTCCAAAGTCATCACACAAAACAAAGCTTCCAATCAAAATCCTAATACAAGCCCAAATTAAGAAGCTAATAAATAGAATTAAAAAACAAAACAACACACAAAGAAAGTCTTAACCGCTAGCAAAATTAGTTTGTTTTTCAGTAGCCAGTGTTTTATTCAGCTAGTAGCAGACAACACAGATTTGAAACCTTTTATTAGCATGATTCAGTTCTTTGGACAAGCAGTGCCCTTCTGACACCACCTTCTTAAATTGCAAGCCTCTTACTAGTGACAAAGCTTCTTCCTATGAGCTCCTTCATTTTAGGAGAACACAATTCAATAAAAGCGTACCCTGTCATCAGTGATTTTATATTATGCAAAGGTAACAGAAGTTAGTTTAAGAAGTTAGTGTCTACCTGCTAATAAAAAACCCAGTTAATATAGCATTAATTTTTGGTATTCAGAGATATCTTTCAAATGTAACAAGCAGCATGTCTTTGTGTAAGAAATCTGAAGACCTCTTACCTTATTTTATATCTGGTTAACATGCCTAAAATGACTTTTGAACTGAGGAATCAAGACTTTACTCCAACATGCACATACGCCCCTTCTTAGAAGACAAGAGAAGAATGCTAGTATATTCAAAAACCATGGTCATGGAAATTTTGGGACAGTTCTTAACTGTTTTGTCTTACTTGGCCATTAATTATGCAGAAACAAGATAGGCCAAATGTTGTGGTCACATTCATGTTCCACAAACATTTGATCTAGGCTGTATCTGTTTATCAGTGTTAACCATTAATTACGTAGACATGTTGGTTAAGATTGTGGAATACGTATGCAACCACAAAAGTCTGATCTATAGCGTGCTTGCATAATTAATGGATAAGGAGAGAGAAAATAACTATGGCTGTTCAGTATCTGCCCTCAGAGATACCCTTTAAGAGAAACTCAGTTAACAAATAAACCATTTCAGAGATTTAAAATCAGGAGGAGACAAGTATGAGAGTATTTATACAGGTATTCTGCTAACAGCAGGTTTGTTTTCTACTGTAGAAAATAGCAGTGGGTTGACCCCAGCCAGCAGCTAAGCACCACACAGCTTGTTCATTTCCCCACCCAGTGGTGCAAGGGAGTGAATAAGAAGAGCAAAAGCAAGAAAACTCATGGGTCGAGATAAAGACAGTTTAAAAAGTGAAGGAAGGGGGGGTGAGGGGGAGAAGACAAAGTGATGCACAGGCAATCACTCAGTACCTCCCACAAGCAGAAGGATGCCCAGCTAGACTCTGAGGAATGGCTACATGCCAGACCAGCTCTCCCTGCTTGGTTTTTATTGCTGAGCATGACACTATGTGGCATGGAATATATCCCTTTGGTCATCTGGGGTCAGCTGTCTAGGCCACACTAAGTCCTACTGCAGGATGTTCCTAATTAAACCATTATTTTACAATAAAACTACAAAATCACAACTTATTTGACAAGCTGTTATCGAACAAATAGGCTAAACACAGATCAATTCACCGTTGTATCCTGTAAACCGGGATTTAAACACTTCTTTATCCATCCCTTGTGAGCAGAAGTCATTCAGCTTTTTGAAATCCTTTCTAAAATACTTCCAATTTCCATGAAATTCAGCCTCAAAGAAAACATCACACTTACAGATCAAGAACTCGTACGCAGACTTCTGACACTGACAGACTGCGACAATGATATATGACTGGAGTCTAGCACACAGATCGATCAATTTCCTCTAGCTAACTTCAACTCATAAAAATCTTACCTGATCAGGAAATGAAAACATTAGATCCCACACATCTTCTACATGTAACCTCCTGCCTTTTTCTTCAGGGGGAAAAAGCAAAAACAGAACTCCTAAAAAGGAGTTCTGAAAGGCATACAGCTAATGCAATCTAGCTGCACAAACCATCCTTCAGCCATTCCAAGGGCAAGCATAGTAACAAGCACCCTTTCTCTGACTACATTGCACCGTGGAGCATAGGACCCTTAAGTAAGCTGAGTAACCAGTTTTGCAGGCAAATAAGTCTGAGTTTTCATGCATTATGAATAAAGGAAAAAATCATACCAAAAATACAATATAACAAAGGTGATGCAATGCTTTTTTTGGTTTTTTAGCCACTTACATGAAGCTTCAGTAATGGAGTCACGGTGTCCTGAGAAAAACTGTCTTCCAGGGTTCCTGCCTGTGGCTTAGGACTTGAAGATAGAATTTCTTGCAGTGGCATGAATACTTCTTCTTCATCATTGTCATCATCATCTAGACTGCATTCCAAACTCTCATCTTCACTATCAAAGCTGCTTTTTGCTTTTCCATTCAACTTGGACTTGTCTGTATAGGTGCTTTCAACTTTTAACTCGCCTGAGAGTTGTGAAGACATAAGGCTGCTGTCCATGCACCCTTCTTTAAAAGACAATGAACAGGGAACACTTTTACCAGTCTCTTCTGAGAGTGCAGGTTTCCCAGAACCTTCCACTGAACAAGAATCAGAAGCATTTTCTGAAGTCTTGTCTTTTGTTTTTGAAAAACTGTTGCTGGATTGAATACTGTAAGCTTTGTTGTGTGCACGTCCTTCTGGTCTTTTCCCATCTTGCTCCTTCTTAGCATCCAATACCTGAGGTAAGCCAGCATTCTGGAGATGAGATTCCACCCCTTTTGTTTGTGTTAAGTGGTGGAGAGAAGGCAACATAGTGCTTTTTTCCTGAGAAAAAGAAAGGGACTTTTCCAAGAAAAAGCGTGAGTTAGCCACCTGCAATTGATTCTCTTTGGTATCCACAGCAGAAATGTGGTTATTTTTACCAGGACTGCGTGCAGAATATGAAGGTGACAAACCTACAGAGGAGCAATTATTTTTCTCATTTTCATCGCTTGAGTTGAGGTATTCCTCTGGAAGAGTAGAATCATGTCTAGGCAGAGCAGCAGCCTCCATTAGTTGCAGAACATCACCACAAGTAGACTTCAAAAGGATATTTTTTACAAAGTCAGACCTCCTATTTTTGCATTTTGCAGATGACCTACCAAAAGCAGGGTCATTCAAACTTGGTAATTCAGATTGATTTGAACTGTCTGCGTCCACACTCATGGCAGTGCGTTTTCTTTTCCCAGAAAAGTCTATTTGTTTGGATCGCCCAGAAGACATCTTAAATCTAAGGCAGCGTGAAGGAACAGACTGGCTCTTCCGCATACCAGAGGCCATCTCAGATGATGTTCTCAGTGCATTTGGAGGAGATGCCTCGTGTTTCGAAACCTGCTTTGGCTTTGGTTGAGATGGGTCATCTGTGAAGTATTTAAGAAAAAAGTAAACCACTGTTGTCATGTTTAAAAAAAAAAACCCAAAACCAAACTGTAACAGCTTACTCTTTAAAAAACTAACTTCTGTTTTTAAGTCAGCTATGACTGAAATTTTTATCAGAAACTACAATACTTCCATTCTGCTTGAACACAGTGGACCACAATTAAGATTTAGCCGATTCCTGTGTTGTGGTTTAACCTGGCAGGCAGCCAAATACCACGCAGCCGCTCGCTCACTCCCCCCATCCCCAGCGGGATGGGGAGAGAATCGGAAGGGTAAGAGTGAGAAAAACTCGGGGGTTGAGATAAAGACAGTTTAATAGAACAGAAAAGGGAAAATAATAATGATAATGATAGAATATACAAAATGAGTGATGCACAATGCAATTGCTCACCCCCCGCGCTGACCGATAACCAAGCAGCAATCGCTACTTCCGGGAACACGCCTACCATTCATACACTGAGCATGACGTCACATGGTATGGACTAACCCGTTGGCCAGCTGTCCTGGCTGTGCTCCCTCCCAACGCTTGTTTTGTTTTGGTTTGTTTTTTTTTTTTTTTCTTTTTGAGCTGAATGTCCTTGACTAACAGGGTACTTAGCAACAACTGAAAACATCAGTGTGTTATCAACATTCTTCTCATACTAAATCCAAAACACAGCACTAGGAAGAAATTTAACCCTATCCCAGCCAAGACCAGGACAGCTGTACTGTTACGTTATTATTGTAACTAAGTCGGAAATGAAATTAAATCCTTTTATTTTAAATCAGCCACCATAGAACACTTTTTCTATATGCTAGAATCAATCAGTCTTTGGAAGCAGACAATAGCCCAGTTGAGGTATGGGACTGGAAGAAAGTTTCTGTAATTACATATAATGGTTATAAATAATGAACATTATGAAAAGTATTTTGGAAATACTGCAATGATTTTAACAGTGCTCATGAAAAAGCATTCAGAATATGAAAAAATCTGTTTTCAGGCTATGGTTCTATGGCACCAGAGCCCACCTTCCTCACCATGCTTTTCTGCTTCTGGCCAGCCTTAAGCTGGCACCAGCAACCTGGACACTTCATGGTAAGCTACTTCTTGGAGTTGATGTGGCTGAGAACTTCCCAACTCAATTTTCAGCCAGATCAGCTCCTCACACTGCTGGCCAAGTCCCAGTGCTAGCCTAGGCGGAAAGTGAAGCGTAGCGGCAGAGAGTCTGATAGGTTTACACAGCCATGGATCCACAAAATGGGAATACTCTACCAGGTTTGGGTTCCCCTCCTCCTTTTTGTTTTTTTTTTTTTTTTTTTTAAAAAAAAAAATCATTCTGCTGACCTAGCTCAAGCTTCTATTCACCTGAGCTTTTTATATTCACTTCTACCTCATGTAGAACAAAATTGGTCCCTGTGGTTAAAAGGGACAAAAAGCAACAAGAATACCAGCTAAACTTTAGTGTTCGGTTCAACAAGAATGTTCTTTTTGGATTAAGCTGAAAGGCAAAATTTGTTAGCCACCACAGTGAATGTGGATTTTCCAAAATGCAAGACAAACAATAAAAATAATCAAGGATTAAGGGCTTAAGACAAAGAAATATCATGACTTCTAATTAAGTTACAAACAATCTGTTTTTCACTAAAATCTCAAATTACTTTTAAACCTCTTCAAGCTTGCCATATATTAGAAATAACCTTGACTATACAGCAGTAATTTTTTTGAAGTTATGTTTTTCTGTTTTCTCTCTCAAGAAAAAAAGCCATTAAAAAGGCACAATAAGTGATGAACCTGATTGTTTAATTAATTCCATATTATCAGCACTGCTTCTACCTGAGGCAGTCTCCCTTGAACCAGAATGTGGTATTTTTCTTAAAGGACATCCATTTCCCTAAAAATAAAGACAGAGAAAATAAAAAAGTTAATTACATACTTTTTAAAACCAGGATGTTGACATCTTGAGCCAAGCGTTGAATCCAGCACAGACTTAGTTCCACACACCCCCAGAAATATGGTAATATACTTCATTTCAAGACAAACTTAAAACACAGCTGCAAAGATCTCAACAAAAGGACTCTCCACAACCTGAATTTTATATCTTTTCTTCAGATTCGCCTCCAGTTCTAAATCTCTCCACTTTTAGGGCCATTAGCTACTTGCACCCCTGGGCTATATGGCAACATAGCCCAGCTGGCTTTCCTCAAACAAGTCATTAGGAACTTAAATAACAGAGTGACAGAAAGCACAGACAAGCAAATACAGAGGGAGGGGTGCTAAGGAGAAAAGGAAACAGAAGCTAAACAACCTTTTTTGTTCCATTCATAGCACATTATGGAGGTGCACATAATGATCTTCCTTGCAAGTAACAGGAACCTTTTAAAGGGTTTTCTTGGTCGGTAAAAAAGTGAACGTAATTCAACCTGTAATGAAATACTACATACTTAACAGGACCACTCCCACCTCAACCTAAATATTGTGGCTTAAGTGCATAAGACTGAACTGCTATTAACTGCGACTTCTAATCTACACTACATTGTAAGAAAACACAAGTTTATAAGACAAATATTTAAGATAACAAAGACATTTTCTCTACAAAATACAATTTAAAGTTACAATTTCCATTGCATTTTCATACTTGCATCTAACCCAGACTATCTCCCCTGCTTTTAAACCAGGACTTCTCATTTATTGTAAAATAGTTAAGAATCAGCTTACCCAAGCATGTACACTACATTGTAAGAAAACACAAGTTTATAAGACAAATATTTAAGATAACAAAGACATTTTCTCTACAAAATACAATTTAAAGTTACAATTTCCATTGCATTTTCATACTTGCATCTAACCCAGACTATCTCCCCTGCTTTTAAACCAGGACTTCTCATTTATTGTAAAATAGTTAAGAATCAGCTTACCCAAGCATGACCTAAGATTTACAAAGGAATAGCAAAAGAGCATAAACTTTTGTTACATCTGAAAAAGGCAGCACCAAGAATCTCATCCTACATTGAAAAAGAAAAAAAAAAAACACCCAAAACAAAAAACAAAACCCCACAACAACAAACACATGCACAGTGGGTCACTGATTTCCACCTTTAACAACCCTTTTAAACACACCTGATGTGATAGACTTGTTCCTGAGAACGGCTTTACCGGATGTGGCTTAGATTGTTTCATTCTATGTTTCTTCCGCTTCCTTTCTCTGCGGAGAGCTTCCAGTGACAATCTAAATTCAGAGTCAGTTGGAGTGCAGGGCAATTTCAGGGGAAGCCCTGCGTTTTGGCACAGAGATGTGTTGTTCGCAGTGCCATTATTTCTAGCACAGGCTTTTCGAGTATCAGCTTCTGACGATGAAACCCATTTGTCAGAGTCTGAACTAGTGTCTTCTAGATCCATACAGTCAGTTTTCTGTTCCCAACTATTTCCACAAGACAATGGTGCTCTTGTTACACCTAGACACTTCTCATTTCTTCCCTGTTCTGACTTGACAGTTTTATCCTTTTTGGCCAAGAAACAGTTGCGAGACCCTGCGGTAACAAGGAGTTTTTGAATCACAACTTTTGGGTACAATGAACCCAGTGCCTTGCATCCTCTGCCGTTCTCCAAAATGTTTACACTATCCTTTTTCTCTTTAATGCCTCTCCGAAAGGCATCTAACACAGGACTTGTGTTTGGTGTTTGGTCTGGCATCTTTTTTCTTCTGACCTTCTTTGGAGAAGATATTTTCTTTTCAAAACATTCAGCACGTAAAACTGACAGTCCAATTCCTGCATCTTTTACATTTCCTCTATCTGGTGAACACAACACAGTTCTGTCTTTATGGCCAAGGTCTAAGAGAAAAAAGAAAAGACAAGTTATTCACAACCACGATATTGGAAAAAAAAAACCTTATTGGACTGTATTACTTGTTATTTTATTTCTCTCACATGCAATCCAAAATGAATTTACTTAATCATTTAATTTTGCTAGTGCCATGCAATTTATTTCATATAAAAGAACTGCATGATCTATGTCGCTGCTTCAGTTGTTATAAACAATCTAGCTTACATGTGAGACAATAACTTGAAATAATAATTACATCGCTATTTAAAGAAATGCATTTTAATAGGAAATTAACGTT